TTTCTGTCTTCCTGAAGGCTAACGCAGGCTTTTGTCAGGTTTGCTACCCTTAGGACATTGGGTCTGACTTCCAGTGGGACACAGAAAAGTTGGCACACACAGATCATCAGAAAAGAGACAGCCATGGGACTCTGTGCTACCTCGGGTAGTGACTTTACCCCCAAGTAGCAATGAGCGTGTTCACAAACAGCATTTGCTATTGAGCGTCAAAGACAAAGGACAAGATCAGAACTGGAACGCCATCTTCTAATCCAGATAGCCACTGTCATGCCAGCGGAGCAAGTCATAGCTGCTTTATCCTCAAAGGCAGTTCTGCACCCCAGTTTTCTTCCTAGCCTCCTCCCCACTGCTGAAGCTCAATCTAAATCCTTCTACTTTCATTGAAATCTTTTCTCAAGTTTACTTAAGGGGTTTGATTGAAATCAGACTGAAAGAAGTTTAATAAATGTGACTAATATTACTTTAATATATACACAGAGAGCCATGTGACAACATTTGTTTCTCTCAATTCAAGACCCAGTTTTAGATTTTATGGAAACTTTGTTTTAAAATATACCAGTGTGTTACAGATGCACAAATTGCACATCATACTGCTGGCCATAAACATTTCTTTCAGAGACCCAGACTTCATTCCAGTATATCACCTTTAGAGAAGAGCGGGCATAATTTTCTGTCGCTGCAGGCAGTGGTTTAACTGCCACTGTACCAGCCTCCATAAGGCATTTTCAATGACCAGTTGCCTTCAGTGGTCAGTTGCCTTTAAATAGTTACTTTAAAAACACAGCATTTTATTTGTTTTCTTGAGGATGAGCACTCCTTTTTATGTGGTAATAGTAGCTGTATCTTCTTTATACAATTTCACATGTACAGTACATATTAACAGTAATCATGCTGTACAGCAAATCGCAAATCTCTAAAAACTTTCATCTTGAATGACTGAGACTGTATCATCATTGAATAGCAACCCCTCATTTCCATCACAGGCAGCTCCTGGCAAATGTGATTCTAGTCTCTGTTTCTCAGATTTGAGACTTTTTCAGATACCTCTTATGTATTGTCATTTTCAGTGAAGTCTGTTATGCCTTTGGTTAAGATTATGCATAAGTAAAATTTGTAATGGTATTATAAATGGGATGTTTCCTTTTCAAATTGTTAGTATACAGAGAAGTAACTTGTTTTTCTGTATTGATGCTATATCCTGTTCCCTTAAATTCACTTATGAGCTCTAAATAGTGTTTGTATGAACTCTAGGGGTTTTTATATACAAGAGTATCTCAAAATTTATGGCAACTGGAGTTAAAAGGTAAGTTTCCTTTGGTACACACAAATTTTGAATTCCATGCATACAAGGGATCTTCAGAACGTTCGCAGAAAATGCATATTATATAAAAACCTGTATGTGGATTTCAAAACTGTTTGTCCCACAAATGAATTTATCTTTTAATTCCATTTTTCAAAAATTAAAACATGCTATCAATTTTTGTCATGTATTTGAGAGGCAGAGAGGCAAAAAGCTCCAAGCCTCTAATTCACTCTCCCCCCCCCCACCTGAATAGTTGGGGCTGGGCCAGATCAGAGTCAGGGACCAGGAGCTCAGTCCCGGGCTCCCGGGGGGCAGCAGGGACTCAATTGCTTGAGCTGATTCCCTAGATACACATTCACAGAGCTGGGCCTTGAAGCCAGATACTCCCACGGGGGAAGCGCCTATATGGGTGTTGGTGCCCTAAGAGACATGCGTGCTACGGCCATACCATCCTGAACGCGCCTGATCTCGTCTGATCTCGGAAACCTAAGAGACATGCGTGTCTTACCTGCTAGCCCAAACACCTGGCCCTCTAATAAAACTCTTTGAAGACTGTTCCATTAAGATTACATCATCTCTACCTAGGTGTGTGTGTGTGTGTGTGTGTGTGTGTGTGTACATACAATATATATAATTAAATAAATAATATTCTTGTTTTAATGCTTTATTTTTTATTCCTCATTAAGCTGTGGCTAGAAATTCTAACATTGTTTTCACTAGAAATGGCAAGAGTGGGCATCTTTTTTTTGTTTCTGATCTTAGAATAATAGCTATATAGTTTTCACTGTTCAGTATATTGGCTATGGACTTATCATACATGACTCATCATGACACAATTTCTATTACTCGTTTTAGTCTCACATCTATAGTGGGTATTGCATTTGTCAAATGATTGTTTTTTCTGCATCTATTAAGATAATCAAGAAGTTTTATACTTTCTTCTGTTAATGATGTAACACACATTGACTGATTTTCTGATATTGAAGAGTTCTTATCTCCTACAGATAATCCCACTTGGTCATGATATATAACCCTGAAATCTGTTGTCACATTTGTTTTATTAGGATATTGTTGACATTTTCGCCTGTATGTTGGCCAAGAACATTAGCCTGTAATTTTATTTTCTTGCAGTGTTTTTGTTAATAGGATTATGCTGGCTTCATAAAATGAGCTTGAAAATGTTTCCTAGGTTTTTTTTTTTTTTTGGTTTAAATTATTTATAGTAGTCACAGTTGTCTCATCCAAAATTTGTATTTATCTGCCTCACTGATTTTAAACTGCTCTTCAATTCTTTCATTTTATGGCAATTTTTCTTTTTTTAAAAAGGTTTATTCATTTATTTATTGGGAAGTCAGATATACAGAGGGGAGGAGGAGAGACAGAGAGGAGGATCTTCCTCCCATTGATTCACTTTCCGAGTGACCACAATGGCCGGAGCTGAGCCGATCCGAAGCCAGGAGCCCAGATCCTCTTCCAGGTCTCCCAAAAGGATACAGGGTCCCAAGGCTTTGGGCCGTCCTTGACTGCTGTCCCAAGCCACAAGCAGGGAGCTGGATGGGAAGCGGGGTTGTTGGGATTAGAACTGGCTCATGCAAGACGAGGACTTTAGCCGCTAGGCTACCACACTGGACCCATGGCAATTTTTCAATTTATTTATTTATTTGAAAGGCACCTTTATACAGAGAGGGAGAGACAAAGATTTTCCATCCACTAACTCACTCCCTAAGTGGCTGCAATGGCTGGAGCTGAGCCAATCTGAAGCCAGGAGCTAGGAGCTTCTTTTGGGCCTCCCACATGGGTGCAAGATCCAAGGTTTTGGACCATCCTCTACTATTTTCCCAGGCCACAAGCAGGGACCTAGATGTGAAGTGGAGCAGCCGGGACATGAACCAGTGGCCATACAGGATCCTGGTGTATGCAAGGCAAACATTTAGCCACTAGGCTATTGCACTGGGCCCCATTTTATTGCAATTATAGACTATTTTCTTATTTTATAAAATCCAGTGATATTCCATTGCATATGCATATGCATATATGTATATATGTGTATGTTGTATATACCCATATCTGAGTGTATGCATTTTTATCTGTGTATTCATTGATGCTACACTAAACAGAGAATGCAAATATCCCTGTGACATGATTTCATGTGCCACTTCTTTTTCTTGCTTTCACTTCTATAATGCATCATATACTGTACGCTTGATGATATCCTGTAACTACTGCAGGCTTTCTTCAACTTTTAATTCTTTTTCTTTTTCCTTTTGCTCCTCTGAATACTTCAAATGATCTGCCACAAAGTTAACTGATCCTCTCTCCCACTTGAACATTTCCCATTTAATTCCTCTTGTGAAGTTTTCAGTTTATTGAATCTGTCTATTTAGTTCTCAACTATTTTCTATTTCTTTGTTGATATTCTGATGTTGTTCAAACATCATTTTTCAGAGGTTGATGGCATCCTTAAAATGAAATTTGTATTGCGAATATGAAGGGGGAAATGAAGGAAGGAAGGGTTCATGGCGGGGGAGGAAGTGTGGCTGTCTGCTTGGCACTGTGTAAAGTACATGAAGTCCGTTCTCTTTAATCAACTTTTTTTAAGAAAGGTGATTATTTTTAAATTAGTCTTCAAGTTGTTCATATACATCCATTTCCTTAGGGTCACTTTGTGGAAATTAATTTTACTTTTTATTGGGTCATTTATTCTCCCCTGTTTGGTAATGTTGCCTGTAACACTCTTGGCAATGGCCTTAAAAATCAGTTTCTATGTGGCAGGCATTGATCTAATGGCTTTCTATCAGTTATTAATTTAAAAATGATAAAACTGAGGAACAGAAAGCTTAAATAACTTACAAGAAGCCATACATCCATATAGAGGTATAATCCTGTTCTAAGACATTTGTATTCATGATCGTGTTCACAAATCTTCGCCTGATGTTCAACACTTATTTGCTGAATGAATCAGTAACTTATAACCTGAATATTCTCCTTTTTTCCACATTTTAAAGTGGATTCTGCTTGCAAAAATTGTACTTAATGCCTTCCTCTGTCAATCTGGATTTTAGATGCCTGCCTTGAAACCGCTGGTGTTGTGTGCCCAACTCCTGCTTTACCCTACCAAGAATTTCTTCAGTTTTCTTTACAATTTTCCTCCCAGATGCAAGCAACCTTGACATAAATATGGGTACTGGAAGCTTAAACATCAGTCAGTTCAACAGAGATCACTGCAAGCATCGCTAGGCCCAAGTCTCCAATGAGACTGTGTAGTGTTTTCATGTCACTCCCAAACAGAAAGCTAAAGGAGAGAGAGAAAACATCATGAAACTGTTCTAGAGACAAACTACTCCCTGATAGCTTTAGGGGGCTCAGTCATTTTATGTAAGATTTTACTTACAAATGACGGGATTTACTTTTGGGGTTTTGAATTCCTTCCATTTTTATAGAGACCATAATTGTTTCTCTGAATATTGTAAATAGAAGGCATTCTTGAAAAAAAATGTAAAATTCTATTTGGCTGCATTCTGCAAGATGGCATCTTTTAGTCATTCTAAAAGTGCCTGCTCACTCTGTTATCAGCATTGCACATGGATGTTTCACCGCAGGCCCATTTCAGAAAGATTCAAACTGCACCCATGAAGCTCTCACCGACAATGAACCAATGACCGCATGGAACAAGTTGATATTTGTACTTTTGTTACAGACATCCGGAGCCATTTACAACGTTTTTCCTACCTGGCAGTGATGAGGAATTTTTCGTAAAACCTAGAGCTGGAGAACTTCCTGCTTGTAACAGTGAAGGGACTCTAATTACTGTAGGATTCACTCCTCGAATGTACAGCAAGACACACAAAGCCACATTGGTGATACAGGTGAGTGGCATGAGGCAATGACAAGGTTCCTTCGGTCTCTGAAAGCATCTCTATGAATTCCTGGGGAGAGAAGATTTCACCCAATGATCACAGATCAAGAATCTTTATACTACCACACAAAGGCCCTCTTGCTTCAACTGTTCTCACTTTACTTCTTGTTTGTCAAACAACAGAATTTAAATATTGAGTTGAACCAAAAGGTTATCAACACCAGGTAAAAGTAAGAAAAATGCTGCCCCTTCATATCAACAAAATGTGCAGAGGGATTCATATGGTCACAGATCATTTACTGTAATATAACTATTCGATGACCTACTTTTGGGTAGCTTAAGAGGGAGATTTTAGAACTTTTAATTAAGGCATAGAGTATTGTCAGAATGTTGAGCTCTGAAATGAAGAAAGTAAAACAAGATAAAATGATATTGTAATGGAAAACACTATGTGAAGCAGACCTATTAAGGTGTTTGTTAACAGGTCAGACATTTATCTTTCTGAAAAATGCATCTAGTAAACAAAATTTCTCTGAAAATGTTCACATATGTTGGAATAAGTACATTCAGGGTATAGACATCTTTCAGTTTCTGAAAAGGAACCTCTTGTTGCATGCTTTCAGTAACAAAGGGAACAAAGCGTGTGCTGTGTATTACACAATTCCTAGTTCCAAAGTGATTTCTGGATATCTAAAGCAAACAATAATTAGGTTGTACCAAAGGCAGAAAAATGTCTTTTGTTTTAGTGAACAAAGCAAATATGAAGCTGCTTGAGAATGTTTTGCCTAGGTTTTCATCTAAGAGTCTGTGCCACCTAGCTGGTGAGAGGCTTTGCTGCCCATTCTCTGTTGCTCGCAACAATACTTGGTTTGCAAAGAGCCTTGGCAGCTGCTGGAAGAACCATATGCACAGCGCAGCCTACCGCAAAATTATTTGAATCTTAATTGAAATACACAAAACATAATTGACAATTTCATAATAATCTTTATGCATAATTGTTTTCAAAGGGTCTTGAATACGAGTGCCAGGTCAATACATGCAATTCACATTTATGTACACTAGTTGCTGGGTGAAAGGGCATTGGTTCCCTCATGCAGCTCACTCCTGGGTACTCTGAGCTGCCAGCCACAAGTACGACTAGTTTCTAGTTAGTAGTTCACATCTTAGTACTAGCTGCATTACACATCAAGCCTACTATATACTGCAGCAATCACTTGTCCTGCGCTTACCCTTAATGAGTTTTCTAAGCATGCGTGGTACAAATCTTAGTGCAAAAGAAAAGACCTCTATGAAAAACAAGCGACTTCAGGAAATTCTGCACATGCAATGGAATCCAGAATACATATGCTGAGTTGTGGATATAAACATACGGAAAAATGCTAGTCTGCCTAATTCCTGTGCATGCATGCTTAAGAAATGATGGATTCAAAAGAAATCACCATAGGAAATGTACCAACTTACACCTGGGTTATGAATGTCAAGAATGACACAACACCTTTCCTGGTATATTCAAATGGTTTTATTTCATATGTTCATGATATTACAAAAGAAGCTCAGCTTATTTTACCAGTGATTTTTATGGCTACACTGAAATTGCCATATATAAAATAATTATAAAGGGCATTGTTCCTACTAGTTATAGTTGATTCTGTGCATAATTACATGAACCAAATAGATTCTTTTCCCTTATGTGAGGAGGAAGCTTACTTAGTCCACCACAGGACGGATTTTAGAAAATGGTTCTAAATTTATAGAGCAAAGTGCTTTTCTTAACTTATTTTTTCATGCGTATCATTTGTCATTATAGGTACAGTTTCAGTTTTATACCTTTTTCATATCCCATATTGGGAACAATGTTAATTATGGGAAATGTTAATTATGATAAGCATTTCCATACATTCTTCTGAGTTCCTGGATATTGCATATAAACTCTCACTCTCCCCCTCCCTCTTGCTGTCTCACTCTCTCCAGACATCACATATGTACTGGATGTATGAGATCAATGGATTACCTCCGAAAACCGTGCCACCGCTACACATACAAGCTAAAGTTAAGTCAACAAACCAGAAATGCTACAGCATACCAATTATTCGGCGTGACTTTCTGCATGAAAATGCTCAGCTCCTAAGGACCGGAGTGTCCTCTACCATAAAGGGTGCGCCTTTGGTGACAAAGAAAAAATAAAATTTTCCAAAACATTTCTTGGTCTTTTTCCTTCTAGTTAGTTCATCTTTTGGAATATTTCTGAGGAATAATGGTTTAATTATGATAGGTATTCTTTATTTCATTGTCTTTCCAAATACTGCCAGTCTGTTCTCTGAGTATATCGTACGTCATCTGTGTAGTTTTAAAACTGAACTTTGGTTGCAAATACTGGAATAAGTTCAAGTTTAAGCTGCAGGAGTATATTCACAGTCATTGAAAACAATTTCAATCACAATACTTCAAACATCAGTATTGTTATTAAAGGTACTAAAGTTCAGTTTGTCATGTCGATGTGACTTATGAGTCTTTAAAACATTAATAACAAAATCAGCATAAACATATGATTTGGCTTTTCTTATATCTGCTATTGAAAATACTGTGTAATTTGGTAAGTAATTCATTTTAAATCCATGTACAAATGTGCTTGCAGCCTACGTGCTCCTGTATTGGAGCCTTTCAATAATATTGGTATTGCAAGGGTACTTCAAAAAGTCCATGGAAAATGAAATAAAAGTGTTTGCTATGGTGCGAACTTTTTTTTAAAGTGTTAACTTTTAACAATTCACACTTCTGATGACCTTTTTGGAGATTCGTTATATGTGATAATTTCAAAAATGCTTTGCCTCAAATAACCATAACTCCAGGAACTTTTCAATACGCTTTTCTATCTCAAAGTGTTGTAGGAGGAAGCTCATGGTAGTGGGGATCCTCGAGTATGAGTCAGCAATCAAGCTGAAAGAATTTTGCTTTGGAACCCATCATGGGGAAAGTGTAAAAATAACAGTCAGTATGAATCAACCTTATGACAATTTGATGCAAAATCATAAAATGTTCGACTTTGCACACAGCTCATTCATATGATGTTAAATAAGGGTATGATGCTTACCCTTTTTGAACCCTGTATTCTTGTGTACAAAATCAAGAACCTGTGCTGGGACCAGAGTAGGGACAAATCTAACCTTTTACCTGTTTTTTTGTTACATGTAACTGGGAATATTTTTTTTTGGAATATTTTAAATGGTTTTTTAAAATCAATAGATGAATAATGGGTGAAACATGATAATTATATAGTATTTAAATTTTATTTTCCACAAGTAAATACGCATTGTAACACAGCACAATCATTTCTCTTGTGTGTTCCTTGGGGTGATGTTACTGTGACAGCGGTGCTGAACACACAGTTAAAAGCTTCTGGCAACACCCCTTGGTCACTAATGCACATGAGAAAGTTACGAATCCTTTGTCCTAGCTCTTTGGGTGGCAGTGGCTCTGATGTGCTCCCCCAAATGCCCTAGCAAGATTCAGCTTCCAGGGTCTGCAGTAACAACCTTCTCAGTAGTTTATCCTGCATTCACTTTCTATCCTTCCCCATACACTTACGGTGTCTGCTATCCTCGCCTCCCACATAAACTATCTGCAAAAGCATTTTTCTTGAAGATCCACTCAGAGAACATCCATCAACGATTCATGAACCTTGGCATTCAAAAGCAATCAGGAGAATCCCCCCTTTTCCCAAACCAGTGGGCGGAATGAGCGCTAGCTCTGTCATGCTAGCTGATTTGTAGTTGCTCTCCCTCTCAATTCTGTTCCTAAATCCAAAGGTAGTTTTACTGCTGAATCGAAATAACAGAGGAACAGGAATGATCAACAAAAAATAAAACTTTATGGCTATACTCCGTGCTTGCTGCAACAGCACATATAGTAAAATTGCAACTATAGCTATGATTCACTATGGTGACAAAGTAGGAAAGTTATTTTTAAAATCCCAATATATAAATAAGATGAAAATAAGGCCAAAGATGTTGGGGCCATAAGGAAACATAATTTTTTTTTCAGCAATGTTTCAAAAATTTGGTTCAATGTCTTCTTAGATTTTCTGCAGAGTTAACAAAGGCTAGCTAAAGTTCTCAGAATCATTCCAATCCACTTTAAAAAAAAAAAAGAATAATATGATTTGGGCCCAGTGCAGTAGCCTAGCAGCTAAAGTCCTCGCCTTGCATGTGCCAGGATCCCATATGAGTGTCGGTTCTAATCCTGGTGACCCTGCTTCCCATCCAACTCCCTTCTTGTGACCTGGAAAGGCAGATACAGAGAGAGAGAGAGAGACTTTCATCCAAGTAGTCACAATGGCCAGTGCCAGACCAATTCAAACCAAGAACTGGGAGCCTACTGCTGGTCTCCCCTGTGGCTACAGGAGCCCAAGAACTTGTGCCATCCTTTGCTGAAGCCACGTGTTCAGGAAAATGTTCATTTCTCTGATTAGCGTTTTTTAATTGGTTTATTTTAGCAAACCCTGTTGATCCATTCTCTACAGAGGTGTAATCCTCCCGTTCCTGACCTCTTACAACTTCCCTGCTCAGATTCAGGTGTCTCAATGGTTGCAGGCTGGCACTCTCCAAAGCTTTCATAAACCGCCCCCAGCGTCCCCTCAGTCATAGTCACGATTTGTCCTTCTCCTGCATTACAGAGTGGGTACTCTCTCAGTTTGAATTTCAAAGGGTTGAACATTCTGTCCTTCTTAAACTTACTGCCTCATCTCCACAATACTGTGTCCTTTTCTGCCTCAGAATCAAACCTGGAACCAACGTGCCACTGAATTCTTGCCCACTGCGTTTGCTCACACAGTTGAGTCTGCCTAATATAATTTCTCCCATGTTTCAAATCTACCCAATTTCTTCTTCCAACAAAAGGCATGTGTGTGTGTGTGTACTAATTTTAGCTACCATACTCTGGTTTCTCTTCAGATCGTATAAATCTTTCGCCTTTTACTAAGTTTAGCTACCAGATGATTTCCATTTGAGTAAACTTGAGCTTTTTTTCCCAGCGCTTTCTGTCTACTTCCTTTTACTAGCGTACCACTGCTCACATACTGTGCCTCATTATTACCTGAGAATCAATGTTTTGGAACTTGGTACCTGAGCTCTTAGCAGAGAGGGATTTTTATTTCAATTATATTTGTATCCATCATATTAAACTGTTTCTTTTACATTTGGTTTTCATTTCCTTTTAATTTGATGTGGGTGTTGATATTCACAACCACTCCCAGCTAGTGTGAGCGGCAATCCTGGAAATGTCTACTGTTAGTCTAGTGATTTTTGTTTTTACCCATCACACTTCTGGGAAACAATAGATACGGTTTACAATACATTACCACAGACTCAAATATTTCTAAGCAAAAGCATCACTTATAAAGATGTAAATTAGTTAAATATTAAACTGGTTTGGCTCTTTTCACCTGCACTGCTTTTTTGTCAGTTCGGCTGCAGCACAAGGTGAAGTGAGCCCATAGCTCTTTCCCTGCTTCAGGAAGCTCCCCCAGAACGCCCCTCTCCCAACCCCAGGCACTTTCTCACTGTTGAGTGTTTTCAGTTCAAACACCCACTCTTGCCAGGATCCACGGAGCCTCTTGCTGTCAGCCACCTTGCCCTCTGAATAGCTTCTTCGGATTGGGACCTTGCTCTTCCACTTGGGTATTGAGTTTGATTTCTCTGCCTAAACTCATCCTGCCAACTTGTTTTCACTGTTGCTTCATACCGTGATCTGCTCCCAGCACCCACATGTCCCTTCAGAAAGGAGCAAGACACGCGAAGGTGAGGGATCCATCCTTTTCGTCACACAGGGATGATTTTTGAAATTTTTAAAAACTGAAATTTTAGCCTCAATTCTGTGGACTACCAAGTGGACTCAAAATCTTGATGTTTGATGCTGTTTATGTTTAAAAGACCTTTCTACACTGGATATAGGAGAGAATGGGGTTTGAAAATAAAGGGAGGATTCTCAATGAAACAGTTAAATATATCTTGGCAATATGATGCTAGGCGTTCTACCTTTATATATGCCTGCAATGCCACGATGCACTTAAGTAGCATGATGTTAAACTTGTAGTGGTTACTAAAGGACTATACTATAATAAAATAGGGAAGATATTGGGAGGAGAAAGGGCAGGGAAAGTGGGGAATTACCATACCTACAGATCCATACTAGGAAAGATAATAAAAATTATTTTTAAAAAACCAGAATACTAGTTATAAAGTATGCCAAGTACCATAGCAAAATAGAAAATCCCCTGGAGATCAGGCATGGATGCTTAACACCATCCATGGAGGCACAAGTTTCCAGGAATCCTGCAATGCTGTTTCCCTTTTATTATTCTGTGATTATTATGTAGAGAAGAAATGGTCACATTTCAATAACTTTGCAAGAAAGAGAGCACAGGTAAGTTAATGGACTATAATGGTCTAAAAATGATTGTTAAAGGGCTGACTTTTTTCTTTGAAAGGCGGAGTTACACAAAGAGGAGAAACAGAGATGGGGCGGTATGGATCCTCCATTCTCTGGTTCACTCCCCAAATGCCTGAAATGGTCAGAGCTGAAACAGTCTGAAGCTGGTAGCCAGGAGTTTCTTCCATGTTGCCCACTTGACCTGTCCTCTGCTGTTTTCCCAGGCCATAAGCAGAAAACTGGATTAGAAGTGGAGTAGCCAGGACTACAACTGACACCCATATGGGATACCAGCGCCACCGGCTGAGATTTAGCCTATTATGCCATGGCATCGGCCCCTCTAAAAATTCTTTATTAGTGAAATATAATGGCACGGATCTTGAGCCTTAATCAAAAATCAGTTTGAACATGTTTATAGCCCTGTTCAAAACCTAGCGTTCAGCACTCCTTTGAGTTGTGTTCTATATTCATTGCTAAAACAAAGCAAAAAAAATAATAACCCTTATAAAATCTTTTCTGCATGTGCTCCCTGTCCAAAACAACAACAAAAGATGTGTGTGTGTAAAATGTACATAAATACAACAGAAGCATCATGTTCAGGAAACAGGAATCAGTGGCTTGAGACCAAGATAGACAGGTTGGGAGTGTAAAAATGGGGACAAACATGTCATGGGAGCAGGGGGCCTCAGTAACTCATTCTTACCCCAGAGACTTCATGGAATAAGAAGTAAGAAGATGGGTCTGTATTTGAATGCATT